AATATGCATCACACTATTGCAACAAAAGCCTTGCCAGCAAAAGCTAAGCTTTTTGCGGACACACCTTGTCACAATTTTGCTGTAAAGGCATGCTCGGGTTTGCTGCAAACTTTGCGCAAAGTTTGCATCATTTTGCTTGCTGGGTAATAACAAATCAGGCAATTCGACAAGAACATGGCCATATCTTGCTGTAATAAATTATTTTTAAGTTAACTTATGTTTTTATATAAAAAAAACATGTATAAATATATATTTCTATGATCTTTTTTAGGTAATGGATGACTTACTTGGATCGAAGCCAATCATGACACCTGTCGCTACTGTATCCTCAACTGGTAAAAGAGTTATTGATTGTAGCACATCAAGCGCAGAAAATTCCTCTGATACATGCGAAAATGTACAACATAGTAAGTTTTTGTAATTATTTACACACAAGCTTAATTATCAAACTGATTAATATAATTGATTAATATAATTTTTAATTTTTATTTAGAAAAAACACGGCAAACATATTCTGCAGAGCAATTACTTACGGAATTAAAGGAAAATAGATAAATGGCAGAAGATAATGCGGAAAAAAGACACAATGAAAATATTCAAATTCGTGAAAGACTTTTAAAGTCTTTTGAAAAAATGATAGATATTTTGGATAAAAAATAACTATTTGTGTGTTTAAATATATAATATGAAAAATTTATAATAAACGATATAACTTAATATATACATAATAATATATACATTGTTATATATTTCGCATTAATAAATTATTACAAATAATGTCTCGTTTGAGATGGCCTGCATTTCTATCTCTTCTTTGGTTTATGTGTTGTAAATTATAATTATTTTCCATCATATCTAATTCTAATACTGGAAAGTTATCATCTTGTAACAAACAAATGTTGTGTAAAACACGCGAGATAAAATCTAGTATTAGATCAACACGTTCCATATCAAGAATAGTGAGTAGACTTCTAAATCTTCCTTTCAGTAACCCAAATGCCCGCTCAATTGTTATTCGAGCAGATGCGTGACAAAAATTATAATTTTTTTGTTTTTCTGTTAAATGTCCATTATCACGAAATGGTATTATTAAATGATTATGGATTGTATAAGCTGCATCGCCAATTATATGACTGTCATTTGGGAATTTTTCTGGATCTTCTAAATATTCATATACTTCTGATAAGCGAAATACTCGTTGGTCATGGATAGAACCAACGTGTCCAGCAAGACAATAAGTAAATTGCAGTTTATGATCACAAATAGCCTATTAACAATAAATAGAAAAGTATATAATTAATTATATATATATATATATATATATTTTAATTTATTTTAAATATATTTCCATATATCATTTAAATTAATTTATTTAAAGTTTTATTTAATACTTTGTTTATGTTTTTTTATCAATGTTTTTAATCAAAAGTTTTGTATGTCTGTGTATATATACAAAACTTCATATATAATTTTTATATATACATATATGAGAGAGAGAAATTATAGATGTATTATTGTCCCACTACCACCGTCACCATATCTATATAATCAGTGCCTTAACCATGCGAAAGATATCTAAATATACCTGTAGTTATCGACATTGATGTGTCATTGAGTCATAAATGCTGTTTGCATTTCCATCAACAAGAATGTAATATGGAATAATATAGTATGATATAGTATAAAATGCACATTTTCAATTAATAATAGCATTACGCACTAACAATTTATTAATCTAGCTATTATTGGATAATTAGGTAAAATTAATTCTTAACATATAAATTGTTAATTATATCTATATCAATTTGAATGATGCACTTACCTTTATGACTTTATGTTTGTCTTCGTGGATAAATCGTTGTTTGCGGAGAAAAAAAATTATGTAATGTAAATGAAACAAATTTGAAGGTAAAGAAATGTAATAATAATAAAAAAGAAATAGAATATTTTCAGACAAGGAAATGGTACAAGAGATTTTACTCATTTTTCCAAATCGACATTTTTGATAATACCCATGTGTTCACATACAGGACAACCTTTATTATCTTAATGCTGTACTATAGTCACAATATAATACTACGAATTATTACAATATTAATAATATTATCATAGTCATAATAGGTCATAATTTTTAATATATATGTATATTTTTATATGTATATTTATATGTGTATTTGTGTAATATATTAATATACTTATCTATACCTTGTGTGTTGTTACATGATTCCTCTCTTTTACCTTATCACTTAGCATATATAGATATAATGTATATGTATATATATGTGTATATATATGTACGTATATATATATACATATATATACATATATATACATGTATACATATATATACATATATATATATGTATGTATATATATATATTAGCGAATGTTGTGTGTGTGACTTGGTTATTATAATTGCATGTTAATAAGAGTGATAAAAATATTTGTATCACTGCAGTGAATTATAAAAATTATTGTTTTGGAATTTATAATTTTTTTAAAGTTAAATAATTATGTATGTTTTTATATGTTTTATTTATATTAATATGAAATATAAAATGTTGTTATTAAATAATTTCAAACAAGGAGTTGAAAAGTTTAAAAAATTTGTCATGTTCTATATGATATTACTCATTTATCTAACTTTAACAAAATTAAATTATGATTTTCTGTTGAAGAAAGTTGTTTTATATTGAATATTGCAGTCTTGTATTTGAATATATTGCACATATATATTATATGTTAACAATGTTATGAATTTTAAGATTATGTTATACTTACTTGGTAATAAATTTGCAGATAGAAAATGTCGCGCTATCGTGAATGGGATCTGTCCTGCAAGGTTTATGTTGGTAATTTGGGAAGCAGTGCTAGTAAACATGAGTTGGAGGGTAAGTTCAGTAAATATGGTCCACTGAGAAATGTATGGGTAGCTAGAAATCCACCTGGTTTCGCATTTGTGGAATTTGAGGATCCACGAGATGCTGAAGACGCAGTGAGAGGATTAGATGGAGTGTAAGTCTAAAAATTAGTATTTTTTATATATTAAAAATAATAATAA